AAATGTTGTGTTTTCTTTACATTTTTCATAATATTAGGCTTACCTAGTCGTAAAGGCTAGGTGCCGTCACGACACCTTACGGAGGGTTAATTTGGGTCGTGACAGAACCTATATAGACAATTGGTTGGACTGTCGGATTGAAAATGAACAGATAGATGGTTTCATGGCATTGAATTAAAAAAATTTTCCTTTTTTTAAGTAGATTTAGATGGAGAAGGATTCAGTTCATACCCATTATGGCTGTGATGACCTCCCTTGGGATGAAGACGAAGAACTCCACATGGTAAATCCATGTCATCATGAAACTGGAGAAAAAGACAATTGTTGAAAAGCATTAAAAAAGCATAATATATCTGTCCAGTTAAATTTTAAAAAATATGAACATCTAGTATTTTATACCACAACCACACGATTAAGAGGAAGCTTGTAATATGCTGCAAGTGAGCCAGTCTGGGAAAAAGGGAAAAAAGAGATGAATCAGAGTTATTGATCACCTTAGAATAGTTCAGGCAGTTCAATTTTTCAAAATCACTACGCATCAATGGAAAAGCAAGATAAACCATCACTCGTTAAAAACATCTGAGACATCAAAGTCCAACAAGTAGAAATTTACTGAATACTCATAGAACTTTTTATCTTTTATTTCACAAGCAAACTGGAGTCTGAATGATATATGCTACAACAACATACCCAGATCCCACAAGTGGGTCTGAGGAGGGTAGTGTGTACGCAAACCTTTGACCTACCTTGTGAATGATATAAGCTGAGCAAAGAAATGCGCTATTTTTCATTCTTGTCACATGACTAGTTTCAAAGGCAGTTTATCATCCATCACTGGAACACAGAAGAGTTTTCATATAAGAGTTCACTTATTTAAGAAGAGACTCATGAATTTAACTTGTCTGATGAGAGTCTAGTTCATATAAGCCTGCCCTGCAAACTAGGGGAAGCAACCGCTGGGCCATGCCGGCATTCCCTTAATCTGATTCTAGGAGGACTGAACCTCGATAAAACAATGCGACCAGGCTTGTACTGGCATTTAAATGGTGAAGAGGCAAGTCATGACAAACACAGTCAAAATGTCATACAAAGGTGACAAATATTGCCATTCAAAATAGGCTCCCCTAGACCATAAGAAAAGCTAATCCAGCGAGTTCAAAGGTGCTTGAATATATCATTTTTCCACTTGAATTGCATTTTCACATATGAATTAGAATTACACTACTTTCTGGCAGCACAAGACTACGCTCTGGGTTGCTTTAGTTCATGGAACAAATATGCACTGCAATTCACTATCTAACCACAGAGACAAATTGCTTGGGTAAACTTCTTTTAGCTTATATCAGTAATAAAATTGCACGAACCTCAGATAAAAATATAGTCTTTTCTCAATTTCTCAGAGATTGTTACCAAAAATTAGCAATTCAAAGATCAATTGAATAACATTTTTATCAGTTAGTAGTGTCTCTTTTGGTAAGAGTTTTGATAACAAATCATGAGACAAAGGGTACTAATTTGGCTTGCTCCATTCACTGTTTCTTGTTCACTTTTAACAACAATCCTACGAGTTTGCAATGTCACTACAGAACTTGCATTCCATGGTAACTACTGGGTGGTCAGAAGCGAACTATAACTAGTAACAACAAACTTTAACATGTTCTTACCGTTCCTGAGCTAATGGAGGAAATTAGTCCAAAATTATTCATGGTCACCAAGACAAATATGAGCAAAGACTTGAAAGTATCAGGAGTAGCATCTCATTTCTCACAGTCAAATAGTTGGCACAAGACTTCTAATAGTAAAAACTAATTCTAGTGACTACAGCTTAACCACCCACCATTAACCATTCCACCCACAAAACAATCAGAATAGTCAATACAATCACCAATTCAAAGAGAGGAGATAACTATAAACAAATAATAAACAAGATCAGCAATCCTAACAGGCAAAATGAAAAATTTACGAAAGCATCCGGGTAGGCTGCCTACATCACACCCTCTTTGGGTGCGGCCCTTCTCCGGACCCTGCATAAACGTGGGATGCTTCGTACTCCAGGCTGCCCTTTTGACCCCGCTTTCACTATACAACCGGACACAGTCATTTAAATTGCTAGTTTTCATTCCGATAGACAGACACATCCTTCTTTGAGATAGAACCCAAGCAGAATCCATCATAAGCAGAAAGAAAAAAAAAAAAAAAA